AGGCCCGGGTTGGACCGTTCCAAGGCCGTTTCGGTTTTTGCGGGGGAAAAAGGGCTCCTTTGGCAAAATAAGGTAATGAACAAATTTTGGAAAAAAGGGGGTTTTTATTGCGGAAGAAACGAATTATTAAAATATGAACATCCTCCCATCGCGGGGGTAAAATAATTGGTCCAATGGCGAGAAACCACCCAATTATAGGGCCTTCTTCGGAGGGGTAAACAGGGTTGCAACCATTAGTTAGGGGATAAAATTTTTTTTTCATTGGGTTTGTTTGGGGGGGGAAAATTGCTACATCAGTGTGAAGGGGGGTTTTTTCCTTAACCCCCCCCAAAAAACCCCCCCTGGAAATGGGGTTTTTCCAGGCCCTGGAGGAGGGCAGTTCCATCGATATTCACCCCAGGAGGGAGGGGGGGTGGGCCCTTCCCATTTTTTTTTCCCTGAAACGGATTCTTTTCTTAAAGTAAAATGGACAAAAATTTTATAAAAACAAGGGAGGGGGGGGGAAAGGGGTTTATTGATACCCTGCTTTTTTCCCCATTTGGGGAAAAGTTTTGCCATTCATGGGATCCCAGGAAAAATTATTTTTATTTTACATTGCCCCTCCCCAGGTTTCCCCGAGCGGAAAGCAGCGTGAGGGGGTGCGTTACATTTATAAAAAAACGCAAGTTTCTTTTTACGGGGGATTAAAAGAGTTGGGGTTGGAGTGGCCTTCGGAGGACTTAAAATTTATTTTCCTAAGGGGGGGGGGGGGGGGCATCGCGTGTTGTTTGGCGTTTGTACGGTTTTCATACGTGGCGTTATACTTACCAGCACACGGAGGCGTGAGCGGAATTTAGATGTTCTGGCACGTGGGGTTGGCGATAGGAAATAACTTCGGGTTGTCAGAAAAATATCAAGGCACCCTGTGTTAAGACGTGCTCGCCTTCTCTGGTAAATTGATTGAAATAACAGCTCAACGTTTCCTTGTGTATTTGCTCTCAATCGTTGTTGATGCGACTTTGTCGACGCCAATGACTGGCTGCCGACTGACCTTCGAGAGCCTCCTTGATCTCCTCCGTTTCCGATTCCCCGGTCCCCTTCAGCTTGATGACAGTGCGGTACATCCTCGCCTCAGTCCACAGCAGCTGGCACGCCACGGCAATGTTGATGGCCGTCTCCTCCCTGCCGGAAACGCAGTCAGCCACTGTTGGGTAAGGCTGAGCGGAAGACCTGGTCGGTATACATACATATTTGGCGGTTTTCTCTCGATAATACATGCACCATGTGTTCCTTGACGGCAGCCGTGAGGATATTGACGGCTCCGGGGATTCCGTCTGTGGCGCGTCAATTGAGGTGCTGCCCTCAACAATCTACTCTCACCCTGTGCACGGCAACGACAAGGCACGTCGTTGGGAACGTCGGTGACCCACACACGCACACACGCTTCTCACTTGTCCCCCGTCAAGACCCAAATCTTGATCCCTGCCGCCATGAGGTCGGAAACGGCGCCGGCAACCCCTGCCTGAAGCTTGTCTTCGATCGCGCTCGATCCGAGAATCTGGGGTGACAGGAACGGGGGACGCGCGGATGAGATGAACGGTTCCCTCGAGACTTGAGACGCGTCTACCGCCGACTTGTACGACGTTGGACACGAACGCATGGAGCTCCCCTCCCCCATGCTACTGTTCGGGCAGTCAACCCTCTCGTTGTTTCATGGGTTCAAGTATCTCTGTTCGTATTTGCAGTCCTGCGCTTGTCGCCGACACTCTTCATCCCATCCGGTGTTCGTTTCGCCCCACCCTTGTCTTGTACGTTGTCGCAGGCCGTCGTTCACCTCAAGGTTGGCCTCGATGAGTTCCATGCAGTCCTCGATGCGGTTCGGCTCTCCCTTGTTCCTCTTGTCCATTTCAACCAGATCGTTCGAAACCTGAATGGGGTGGGTAGGGCAGTCGGTCAGCGCCAACACACGGAAAGTACTCCATTTCTTTCGTCGATGAGTGCGAACGAAAGTTGAAAGTAAATGGTTTTCGGTTGTTGCCATTACGTACTCAAGGTTATTACGTTGACCGTGGGAGCTCCGGCTTCTGTGGCGGTCCGGTTCGTAGCGAAAAAGGCTGCCGCATATGGCGTAAAGGTACGCCAGCTAAACGAAAGAAATAGAAATAACGCTTAACCAGAGTTTAACGAACATGTTTCGTTCCTGTCGTTTCGAGGGTACGCGTGCGGGCTGCCGATTGTTGTGCAGGGCAGGTAATGCCCCAGGACATCTCGTTTGGAAACAATTGAGCCACAGCAAACCGCAGCAAACGCCCTAAACCCGACCAGACAAGGGTACCTTCTGGTAGCTTTCCTCCCACTTCGCAAAGGCCACAGGGTCTAGCTCCGCCTGCGCCACGACGAGGGTCCTCAAGCCTTCCCTTGCATAGATGTCCATGTGCCTCACCGTCTCGTCAATGGACTGGTTGAGATGACGATATTATCCGGTAAGAATACATCAACGACTTTATAACTTTTGGAACCATGTGATGGCGGTTCGGTCGACGTCACCGAAGCATCTTATTACTCCCAAGTGCTTCCGCAAGACAGGCAAGTAGCGAAGTAGCCATGCAGTTCGACAGTCGTGATGATCATTTGTATTTACACGTGGGTATGAAGTGAACAATCCCATGTAGCTACCTTACGTTGTGTGCGTTAGCAAGTACATCCCCTCGTGAAGTATATCCTTTTGTTGTGGGCGATAACGGAGGTCGAAAAAGAGCGCTAAAACATTCATAACATATTTCCTGGGCTGCATCTGTAGTTTTCTTCTTGGTGTGAATGTTGCTAAGTCGTTCTTGCGACGGGAAACGAGTGTGGTACCTTTTTTGCTCCCGGGAAGTCGGTACGGAGCCTAGGCAGCATGGTGGTGTCGGCCCCCTTGCAGATTATCTTGATGGTGCCGTCTTCGGTCCGTACGATAACACTCATGCGTTTTCGGTCGCTCGTGAAGCCCAGCACGTGAAGCACCTGGGAGATCGCGAGGACAAACAAGACAACGTCGAGAATACAGCAAAAACATTCCGTCGAATCAATCTACCGACATCGACAATCGCGCAGATTGCGGAACAAGAAACGAAGGCAGATCGTAATCAGCTCCCCCCCCACCCAAAGTACGCAAGCCGGGAAAAAGAAAGCTGTGCCGCATTTTTGCGGATCCAGGGATCAGCTACGCCGGGAAAAACACTTAAGGAGGGGGCCAACGGACTCACCGATCGGAAAGCGACGAGCTATGCAACATCCGAACCACCACCCACCAATCCCCACGCACCTCGTAGTACACCCGGTTGACTTGGGGTTTGCCTTCGTCGTGGTCTCCCCCAGCTACACCTTCCACTAGTCCTCCTACCCCTAATGCCGTCTGCTCTCCTGTCACCCCCGGATGATCTCCTCCCTCCCCTCCTCCCTCTTCCTCGTGAGACGAGCTGTTCACAACAACTGACTTGGCATCCACTTCCACCAGAAGCGGCTCCGCCGCGGAGGCCGTCGTGGCGGTGCGCCCGTTCCTACTGTTCCGGGTGCTGCCGTCGCCGCTGCCGCTTCGTCGGCTGCGGTGGCTGCCGCTGCTGCTGCCGCCGTGGCTGCTTCTTCCGCTCGCGGAGGTTCCGATGCTGCCGCCTTCGCTGCGGCTTTTTCTAGGGCATGTGGGTAGTGAAGGTGGTGTGGAAACATCCCAGGTGTGGAGGATGGCGCTGCTGTCGATGCGATTGACGAACTCGAACCCGAAGTACTTGGCACCGAGCACCAGCGCCTCGTCGTCGGGGCTGGAGGCAGACAGCATCACCTGGGCAGTGCCGCCAAATATTTTCTTGTTGGCGTGCTGACTTGTCAATTGCAAACAACCTCTACAGAGGGAATTGACGTCGCATTGTGGATGGTCCGTCCTTTGTCGTGTGGAATGCTGTTGGTTCGTTAGGGATGCCACAACTGTTGTTCGAATCATCAACCATTTCATCACGCCACGGATACATTCCGCAAAGCCTGAAGAATATGCCGGGAGGGATTGGGGCACTGGGCAACTCCTGTATTGTTGATTGTTGCCATGAGTTTTCTAGATTCTTGATGCCTCCCCCACCCCGATCGTCTGCCGGCTGGACGGGGAGATACTTGGGCATGACAGGCAAAATTCACGCACCTGGGTTTCCGTTCACTGCTTGATTCCCGGCGACATCGTATGGGTATTGTATGTATGTAGCGAAGATACCAGCAAATTTTTTGCGAGAGGTAGGGAGCAACAACGAGAGGGAACTGAACACACCTCGTCAGTGTCTTCGAACCTCTCCGGAATGACCGTGTGGCATAGAGCTAGTGCCGTGAAGAAGTCCTTGATCTTGCGGGCCTGGTCCTGCCCCCGTTCTCCCTTTCCCTGTAGATCCTGTGACAACGGATGTTCAGGCCGCGTAACATCCATAACATAACGATTTAGCGTGTTGGTCAGACTGGAGCATCAAGGGCCATGCAATCCGAAAAAAGCCTGAAGGGCCACACAGCTTCACAAGCAGATTCCTTGCGAAATGCCGCCTACATCCCTTCCACGGCGATGCCCCCCTGAGGAAAAATGTGTACCGTCGCATGGGGGCAGATGAGTTATCGATGTCGAAAAGGGGTGAAATGTTGCCCTGTTCTGTAGTAGTACCCCATAAGGGATTTTCTGCAGTGCGCTACTCGGGTCGACCATGAATGAATGTATGAACGCCAGGTTGTTCTCTGAACAAAGCACTGGCCGGGGTTTGTGTTGTTATGCTCTCAAAAAAATGTGGTGCCACGATTCGAATTGCGGGGTCTGTGGACAAACCAGGACAACCAACCCAAGCAGCTGCAGTACCAGTAAACCTTCACCTGGTAGACAGACGGGTCGTAGAAGTTTACATGCGGCACCGCGTGATCCTTGGCCTTTTCTTCGGCCATCAATACGTCCGCGGGAACCTTCTCGCCTTCCACCAACATCGCGGCGCGCCCGATCTCCGTGATTCCCTTAAGAACAAAGAAAGGGCCCGTCGATCGTGGCGGCGGAACTTCGTTAACATACACGTTGGATACGTTGGCACGTCAGGTGCGATTGAATCCCCTCGCGACCAACGGCCCTCTGCACTTGAAAGCACCCCGGGAAGCCGTTCCGAGGAAACGCGTCGACTGTGCGTTCATTTAGAATGACGTGCTTGCTAAGTGTGCCATTGTGTCCATAGGAATCGTGAGCATTCGTAGATTTTCAAGGAACTTACGATCAAACTGCCCCGTTGCGACCCTAATGATGGACTTGGATATCATTCTTTGTCGGCGACACCCCCCGGTGATATGAAGGAGTCACGACTTCCCCCACAAACACCCACAGGCAGGCAACCACAGGAACCAAACAGTGCAGTGATGAATGAAACAAACACACTTCTTGCAGAACACCAATGAAACGGAGATATCTTACAACTCTGTGTATTCCGTGCTCACCAAGCCGTACGAGACCCCGCCGACGCTGAACTTCCTGAAGTCCATGATGTTGCACGTCAGGGTACCGGTTTTGTCGCTAAAGATATGAGACACCTGGAGATGGCGCACATAGCCGCAAACGTGAAACACCTGGAACTTTGAAGGTGTCGTCCTTTTCTCTCACTTGAAAAGCAAGCTCTTTGGCTCTTTCATCCAGAACACAGTCAGCACTCACTTCCCCGCCGGGACAGAATATAGCTCTTGAGGTATGGTGTGTGTGTCACATATACTAGTTAGTCCTGGACATGGGTCTTTACGTATTTCGGTGCATTTTATGAATGCGCTAGCCGGGGGTCACCGAAGAAGGAAGGTCACAACACCAGTTTCGCGTTTCCTCTTTCTGCGCCTTTTTGCGGTACTGCAGAGACACGTGGAATATGCCTCTCCATACATGGTGCCAAATGTGACGGAGACCTCCTTCCCCTCGCGAGAACGAATCGATATGCTGCCATGGTGCCACGGAGCTAAAAAAAACGATCTGCCAACCACAAACCACCGTATTTCTCAGGCGAAGATCGATCCGCTATGCTCAGCACTGCTGGCGTTTGGGTTCAACCCGGCCAAGACTGCCGAAACGTCACCATCTTCGTAGACCAGGCGGCAGCGAAGCCGAGGGCATATACTTGCCTTGCGCGCAATCCCTGTGTGCGTCAAAAGCTATCAAAGCGCCACCACTATCAACGCCACCACGCCCTTATCGCCACCACCACAAGCCATTGGTTCTTGCCCACCTGTCCAAGGTCTTCGTTTAGATTCATGGTCCGCACCCTGGTCGGCGTGTCGGAATCTGCGTGGTACATGTCGAGATCCTATCGGTGACGGCGGCCGTTTACCGGAAAGAGGGAGAAATGATAAGTGGGACATTCAGAGCGCGCAAATGGGGCGGGGGCATAACGCGGGAGAGTAAAAAAAAAGCAGTGTCAGCCCAGGCCCTTCGTCCCAGCGCGCATGCAAGCGAGTTTATGGGAATCGGTGACGTAGCACCTGTCACGTGCACGCCAAATATGCTTCCACCAATAGTTGGGGTTGGGGTTAAGGGTTAAGGTTAAGGTTTGGGGTTGGTCGTGTGATGGGTGGGACTGGAAACCCGAGGCATCTCGATTTGTCTGTCTAACGCCCAAGAGAGCGAACATCAACGCTGCAGGTCCTCAGGCGTACGTTCCAATTTTTTTCCTACGGCACGTATTCGCAGGCTGTTTGGAAACAAATGGCGAACCTCTTAGAACATGGACACGTCGTGTATCCTACGCTCTCGCCGCCCATCCCAATGTCCTATGTGAAGACAATTCTGCATCTTAAACCCTCTCCTTGATATTGCAAGACGAGCACGCGCGCAACGAAGACATCGAAAAATATTGGCAACTTCCCACATCATGTGGTTGTGAGCTGCCGCCCCCCGTTCCTCTCAACCCACCTGGTTCATGAACCAGCTTTGCAGGAACCGGACGAAGTTCATGGAGACGTAGAGCGAGATTGGGATGAAGGAGTTGAGCAGGAGGGCGTTGTAGAGGAACTGGGTGAAGAACATGCCGGCGAGGCTGTCGCTCGCGCTGTCGAACCGTAGGTATGGTTTCGAGGTCTGGTACTGCGGAACGTGCGTGAGGGAAGAAGCGGAGTTCAAATCACTCAGTTGATGATACTTCATTCCGCGTTCCGTGGTAGACAACACATCGCCTTCTGCCGCAGCAGAAATACCCCTGAGCGACATCCATACGACTGCACACTTAGTAAACAAGTTCGTTGCCTCTGCGGGTCCGTGCTCCCTGGTGCGACTCAACATGTCGTCAAACCCCCTTCTACGTGCCCACTTCGCCTCCATGTTGTGTTGTAGTCCCCACACAAATCGCCTACATACCTTGAGAAACCATGTCTTCCACTGGCCCTCCTTGCTATCGCTAATCAGAAACGCTAAAGAAAAACAGCCTGCTGAGTGTAATCGTAGACGCTCCAAAGTGCCTCAGTGCTCACTTCACGGTCGTTTCGAACCTTGGAAACTTGCATGCATACTATATATACAGTAGAACATCTTCCAGTGTTCTCGAGGACGGGCACTTGCTACGGCTCAGTAGGAACCGCCGTCCTCTCAGCCTTAGTCCCTTGCCATCAACCGGCGGTTCCAAATACCCGAATGGTGTGCTTCACCTGAGCGTTCCAGAGGGTCGTCAGCATCGCGCCGAGAATGCAGATGCTGCCCATGACGGCCGCCACCCTCTTGATCTCCTCGTTGATGCGGCTGGACAGGTGACTCGCCTTTGAGGGAGCCTGGTACGGTACGATATGACAGGGTAGAGTAGGGTAGGGTAGGGTAGGGTAGGGTATGCTAAGACGGCACAGGATAGAATATGGAGACAATTTCACCCGAGCTTGGCCCGACTGTGCTGAAGATAGACGAGGGGAAGATCTGCCAGATCCTTGTACATTTTACAAGGTCTTGGACAACGAGAATATCAATACGATTTTTGCCAAGGAGGACCTGACTCCCAAAGTATCCTTTGATCGACTTCTTCCGTAATCTGTACACCTTCGCATATGGCATCGTTGCGGACACTGGTTCGATTATCCGGTTGTGCACATTTTTCTCCTGACTTGGACAATTTTCAATGAGTCAGACCTGAGATCACCTCTTGGAGTCGATCCAACAATGAGTCTGTGACACCTCCTGGCCCAATGGGTTCTCAGTTGAGGGTAAATTCTGTTGATGGAGAGCACTAAGGAGGACCCGATTCCAAATGTAATTCGTCGATCGACTTTCACATAATCGCTTTTACACGTGAAGTAAATGAGGAAAGGACGAGGGCCAAGATCGAACACGATTGCTAAAATGAAGAGCTGGGTCCGCCGAAGAAAATACAGACGTTGGGTCCTCGGTTGGAGTTGACTAATAGGCCATGTCTTCTTGCCTTGTGGGAGGGGAGACCGTTTTTCGGGTACAGAAATGATTATGGGAGACAGGTCTAAGAATAAAACAAAAACACCAAGGAGCGCTACTTGACTCTGTGTGGCATGAACTACAGAAAGTGCAGCTGTAGATGTGGAGATGTGGACGAGTGTCCGCCCCCCGATAGAACCGGACATGGCGTTCTGTGACATTCTGTTCATTGTGGGATGTGATTTGGTCGATTGTAATACGCGCACAACACACCCTACATAGATGACACTACAATGGTTGGTGTGCCTGCGGGGCGGGTTTTCACCAGTGACAACGAGTGTGTACCCTACGGTGGAAAATACCTGTCCTTGATTGTCGACTGGTCATCACGTTGGATTCTCACCCAAACCGAACGTCCGCGACAAGATGAACCCTTCATGTTTTTGTTTTTTTCATCGTCGGTACAGTGAAGGGAGGGGTTCGGGGAGGCGCGGTTGTGCGAAAGATCTGGGTCGCTCTCACTCGAAAGTCGGCCAACGATCGCTGGTTGTATTCTATCTTCGAGAAAGGGCCTGCGAGACAAGCTGATCAATCGGTCGTTCACCATACAGTTCCAGACGCAAAATCCTATTTAACGCCTTTTCTTTTGTTGCTTAGCCTCGCTGATGCTCTGAGGTCGGGGGCGGGATTGGGAGACAAGGCGAAGCGGTTCTCCGGCTACCGAGCAAGAGACATACGGCAGAGGAAGTCTCACAGAACGGAAGTAGTAGGCAACATGATCGATGGGCGATGAAACCGTCATTTTGACGTCGGAGTCGGGCCCTTCGGTTACGTTCCCAGCCGGCGGTGTTTCCGCGGCCTAGGGGAAGATAAAAGGAATAGCAGCACCACGTTCCCGATTGTGCGGAGCCACATCAGGCGAGCGACAGCGATTCCCTTTCCAGTTGAACGAACGTATCCGGAGGTTCTCCCCCAGGAGGCTGTTCACAGGAAGCTGCAGATTGATATTCATCTTTCATGGGCGTTTACCGTTTACAGGGCTAGTCACAACCAAAGCAAACCGTCTGTATATGAGCGTCATGTGCCTCCCCGGCGTGAGAACAACACCCCCGAGACCACGCCGATTCCCACCCACCCACCTTCGACATGCTCATCATGATCTTGGTGTCCGGCCCCGTGTTCAGCACGAGCCCCAGCACCCATCGCGTGTTCCTCAGCACGCAGCCCCTGAGCAGCAGCATGTCCGCCGAGATCGGCTCGGACGCGAAAGCCCCTTCCACCCCCTCCACCCCCTCCTGGTCCGCCCCGTCTTCCACCCGCACCGCCTGCTCCGCTCCCGCTTCTCCCCGGTGACCTCTGTTATCTCCTTCGCCACCGTCGTTGTCGGCGGCGGCCTCCTGCTGCTCGGTGTTGTAAACAACGGGCTTGCCTAGGTCGGCGATGGATGCCGGGATGCTGTTGGTCGTGCCGCGGCGCTTCTTGTTGCGCCACTGGAGCAGAAGCTTGCCCTTGAAATTGTTGATGAGCTTGTCCGGGTGTTCCATGACCACGCGGCCGGACAGCTTGGCGCAGTCCTCAGGGGTGAGCAGCTTTCCCACCACACCCTTCACCACCTATCAATGAGCGTTTTAGTCGGGGTATCACCAACGTTAGCGGGAACCGTCAAAACGGGAATAGCGAAAACCTCGGCGGACAGTCGTGGATTGGGCGTTCCAGTTTCAGCAATTGACCATACTCCAAATGTCATCACTCCCCAGGTTCCCATTTGTCTGTGTTTCCGACAACGTGCAACCTTCCCTCACAAACACGACGCTTTTCAGCGAAGAGATAGGAAGATCACCGACAAACCGGAACGCACAAATAGTGGATACCGCGCGGTGTGCTCTGTGCTTGCTGCTTGATTTGTTGGACTCGCACGCGCTCCGTGAAAACGGATCCAGCATCTACGTTGGCCGTTCGGCTGGGCTGTACTTGCTATTCGCAATGAGATGATCTCGTTGACCTTCCAGTCATTTCCATTTCCGATATTTGTGTCACCGACTTGCGCCGGGGGAATACGTATTTTTCGCCTTGGTTCCCTCTTTGTGTCCCGATGTCTGTCCCCTATGGAAAAATTGCATATTCGTTGGAGCGATAAGAAATGCTGTTGTGCACTGTTCGATCGGGGTTAGCAAGTATATGAAATAAAGCGATTGCCGTTCGTTACCCTCCTAGGTAACACCTGTCGAATCTTGAGGTTAGTCTCTCCATCCAGAGACTTGGTCTCGACGTACGCGACGCCAGCCGGTGACTGCGAGATTGGCTCGTCCACCCCCATGATGAGCACGTCGCAGGGGATGGGCTCCCGGTTGTTGATCACAATCAGATCTCCCACTTCAATCTGACACACGGTTACACGAAAACCAAAACCAAGCGAGGGTTGGGAAATATTCGGTCATCAAGCAGGCTCCCGACCGACCGACCTTGCAAGTGTACCACGCCAGGATAAACGAACGTGGTTGTTTCAGGTTTGCAGGGGTAAGCCGATCGCCAGGTCGTAGAACACCGATGGTTTAAACCGAGACAAGAGTGAAAGGATTAACGCGGGGCGGGGGAGACGCAGATGGCAAGACTACCGCTCAACCTCCGGCAAACGGCAGTTCCAAGCAACGTCGAAGCGTCACGGAGCAAGGCAGCCCCTCGACACTATGAACCAAACTACCGAAAGCAGAAATACTGTATGAAACAAGCCTAAGGTAGGTACAAGCTGGCAGACCCGGTGATCGCGCTGAATAGGAGTGATGTCTTCGAGCAACGTCCATTAGGTCAGAAAATGCGCATGTGCTTATTATTGGAATCACCTCCTTCCAAGTGATGTACTTGAACTCCCCCGACCTACGGTCCCACGCTCTAGTGAGTGACGAGTTCGCATGCCTGTCTGCACGATGTCGAGCGATATCCTCGAAGATCTGCCAACGGCGATGGGGCAATTGGCGTTGGCCGTGTGGCGAGCAGTTGGGTGTCGGGTAGAATATTGTTGGCGTCCCAACGTTACCAGACTCTAGGTCATTCTGCAAGTAATCGTTGGTTTCTAGTGTCAACGCCAGTGGACACTAGTTGCCATTTTAGGTAGGTCAGCAACGTTTCACAAAACTCCTACCAATGCACAGAACTCTGGCCACTCAGAGCGAACTCAAACTTTCGCCAGATCAACGTTGTGTACATTGGTAGGCAATACGCGAGGACATGCGTCTTTGGCGGAGCCGGTATATGTTGCTAGTTTCATTGTCATCATACTTGCCACAAGTCGTGGCAACTGAACACATGCCCTATAGGGTCGGGTCATAGAGGTTTGTCGACGCTGACGTCCAGCAAACCTCCGCGCGTATTCCAGAAATCTCTTAAACCCAATGTTTAGGCATTCCCATCTGTATGAAGGGAAAATACTTCCCAGAAAAAATTGGATGGACGCCAAGGAACGTAACGCACAGAATGCGGTGCCTGCAGCAGTTCGGGTCTAGAAACGGAAGAACTCTCCGAGAGGATCCCGCTCACCATGAAGATGGCGTCCACGCAGACGACGAAGAAGAGAGGCAGCAACATGAGAGGGATACCGAAGGTGTTGGTGATCGACGGTATCACCTGCCCCCCGCGACGAAAGGACGAAGCCGGACCGAATCCCAAACCCAAAATGACCGAGCCCGAAGCCCAACACCAATATCCCGTAGGTCGAGGTTGCCCGTCGCCCGACGGGGTACCGTGGGTTTCGAGACGGAGCACACGTGCGACACACCACAGGGGGAGGAAGCAAGAACACACAGGGAGACCAGAGTCAGGTATGGCATATCGACACCTCTGCGTTCGGCGAGTGGTTGGGGTGTGTTGGCCAGCTGTAAACGTCTATTTGTTCGGTCGAGTCAGCGCCTTGGACACGGGTGGGTGTTTTCGCCTGTTCGCCCGTAGAATTAATTATTCACATCACGGCACGAACACACTGCTTGATCCGTAGCTGCTGATGCGGTGGTCGTGGAAGAAAGGACAATCGCCGTACCTGCAGCGCAGCGATGAAAAGAAAGTAGACGTTGGCTATCTTGGTGGCGGGGTTGAACTCCTCCCAGAGGAACCTTGGTAGGAAGTCGTAGTACTCGTACTTGGCCGTGCGTACCATGTTAGAGGCGAATTCGGTTTCCTGAAAACATTTGAACACGAAAGGGGACAATCAATGCAATTTGCGCGTTGGTAGCAGGAAACGGGCTTTCGTCTTGAAGCTTGGAAGAAAAACAGTACATTGAACGATTCCCAGCTACTACATAGAACAGTTCCGATACCTCCTGAGTAGTCTCTTCTGTAAGCAAGCGAATAACGAGGAGCACGACGTGGAGTCCAGCCTCGCGTGGCAATAAGGACGAAAGTCAATATTAGACCGATATTTCCTATCTTTATCCACTGTGCCCACCAGGTGAGCCAACTCAGACAAGGTCGCAACGTGGAATTTGACTGTTCGCTCTCTTGCAAGCGCTTGGGAAGACCTTCCCAACGGCATGTTCACCCCATGGGCGCATTTGGGAGATCATGTCAGTACCCAACCTCAAGTCGACTACAGAAACTTGAACTTGCGCGGCTATCTTACCGAGATTCCTTACAGCAAGTATGGCACGAAAACTGACAAAAACAGGTTACAACTACTACACACGACGGTAGTCGACATTTCAAATATCACGGCTCACTGCCGGAACGCATGCTGCTACCGCTACTGCTACCGCCGCCGCAGCAGCTGCCACTCACTGCGCTCTGCTCAATGACACGAAAGCACAACTTTCACCACCCCTATCTTGGACGTGCTGTATTCTTCATCCTGGGTCGCACTGAGAGGCCCATTACGTCTGGAACAGAGATGCACACGTGCCAACTCTCCGCGTGGCTCCTGTGGTGCCAGCCGGCCGTAAACTCCTCACCTGCTCTGCGTTGATGACGACAACTCTGTTGGGGCGTTGAGCGACGTCGTAGGCCGTGCTCTTCCCCTCCGACCAGCCGGGAGGGTTCGAGGGCGGCTTGCGGTGCTTCCGATGCCGCCCCCACGGGCAGCAGGTAGACTGGGTGGAGTTCTTCTCCGCCTCCGCTTTTATCGTGTTCCCAGCACCTTCCCTCATTGTCCGAGGCCGTACCTCTCCTTCCTCTTCCTCCTCCTCCTCTTCGTCGTCCTCCGCCCCTGTTGGGTCCTCTACGTCTGCCTCAAACATGTTAGATTCGGAGAGCTCGGGTCCGGCCCCGGCTACGTACTGGTCCTGCCCACGCCCTCCGGCAGAAGCTCGTACTCTGCGGGCGAACACGCACGCGGCAGACCCTCTTCGGGCAGAGGTGATGAAACTCTCTGCCTACAAGTATGACTTCGATATCGTGAGGCTATCGGGAAACTGTAAGAGAAGCCGAGTTCGAAGAAAAAATCACGAGCGTTGTTTTTTATAGCTTGCTCCCTCCGCGATCAGCTGCGCACCGGCCGTGTGTCAGATTGCTGTATGTTCGTGACACAAGGTTCGAAGTGACACGAAGAGTCTTCCCTGGTCTCCATGCTGCGCCAAAAGCAGCAAGCGAATACACAAGTGCGGTAGCACGACGATTGTCGTACTCGGGGCGGCGAAAAATCAACGGTTACATGCGTGGGGAAATTTTCATTGGTTGAAAGTCCCAGTGTGGCGGATCGATTTTTGTAACACGCCTTCCTGGTCTTGTTGATCTTACAATCTACGTATTTTCAGGTACGGTAGTATGCATATTGCAAACGTGTAGCATACACCCGACAATTGTAGGCACACAGCAGTCGGTGATGAAGCTCTCACACGTGAGATTGTTGGCCATCGGCTGCTCTGCGAGAGCATGGCACCGCAGTGCCCCCCTCCCAAACTCCGCTGCATTTTCATGCGGAGGTGGTATCAGGTTCAGCTGGCGAGGCAACCGCTACAGCACTAGCATGTCCCGCGGCCGACGAAGGCCGACTGCTGTGGGTACGGGGTTGGACACTGAGCTCCAAGGTGCCGCGCCCATGATTTTCGCCTTAAGCATCCCCATCGTGAGCCCTTGTGGCTCAGTTGCACATTACCCAAGGCGTTGTGCATACAGGAGGTGTTGAAATCCTATTTTCGAGAGATGGGGGTTACAGTATCAGGCAGGGTTCTGGCTATTTAGTCCTCTTGCCTCCGACCGCCGGCGATCCAGGGCCTAAATCCCTGCAGCTAACCCTGCCCCAACCATAGAGGTAGGGGGTTGGTTGGGGTGCTTTGCTAGGATCGCTTGCAGTCACGTCCAACGTTTTGTCCTGTGTGCAGGAAATAGAGTTACGTCAGCCGGGTACAAGGAGTACAGAGCACCCATACTACTGCTGTAGCGCTTGCGAGGCTGACGACAGTCCACGAGAACAGATGTTGGAAACTGTAAATGTATCAGAGAGTTCCTGAAGTTACTAATTGCTGTAATGGCCGCGAATATCCCCGATAAGGTCTAATCTATGTTTCAGCTACATATGTGCTTGTTTTGTACTTTTACCCACGCCCCCTACCGTTTGTATCGCCCATGGGTTCTCTCACCCCAGGTTCTCAGCAGGATGAAGTGCAAAACCGGGACGGCGAAGGAAAATTAAAGATAATCTACGACGAGGTTTTCCTAAAGCACCGACCACCGCCGGGCCACCCCCACCCGGAATGCCCCGCAAGAGTCTCCACCGCCAGGAGTGAGCTTGACCGGTTGGAGGTAAGTATCTTGGGCCCTCCCGATACTGCGTCTGGTGTTGTGTTTCGCAAATACTGACCTCGATTTGCCTGTAGAAGGTATGAGCAAAGGTATAGAAGGCGAGGGATGTCGGACATGCGAGTTTGGATCTAGCGTTCTGACGTAACGGTGGAAATTGGGATCATCTGCTGGCACAGACAGATGATTCTTTCGGTGCCAGCCAAGGCGACAAAAAGAAACACAACGATCGAGATCAGGGCCCAACGTCATCTGCCTCCAACGGATCATTGAAGAGGGCTCTCCTGCTATTTTCTCACTACCGCTGGACTTTGAACTCCAAGAAACCAGGCGCGTGGCTTACAAGAGCATGCACCAGCGGCGCTTCCAACGCTTTCAACACAAAGACTTCTTTGTTGACACAAACGGAGACCGGCCCGTCTCACAAAATACGATGTACCCGCATACCTATGCTGATCACAGCACAGCGGAGTATAGTATAGCTTGACGACGTAGTATAGAACTGTCGTGGTCGCCGTCGCGGTGGTGGCACGCAGGAGTCGACGTGGCAGAATGGCGGAGGCGCTCAGTAGCTCTCGGTGCCGGCGGCTTGGGAGTGGAGGGGTAGGGAACCACTGTTGGCTGGGCAGAATGTTGATTGGGCCTCTCGATAAGCATCGACACAGAGAACGGCACGAAAAGACACCAAGCTATCATATGCATATGTCGTATTTGGGACAAGTCTACAGACTCTGGTAGCGTTTTCGTCAAGACGGCATGACGAGGTTCATTGGTGAAACGTTCACTGCAGTCAAGTGTCCCCGCAAGCACCTCTGAAATATCGCGCTCGCACGACTCGGGCACCGACAATACTTATTTCTCCTCGCTACCCTTTCGATGTGATCTTCGCTATACATACCCCAGTCCAACAAAGAGATCGTTCCACGAGTGACACCGGTAAGTGCCGTTTACTTTCCGCTTCAGGGGATCGAGTGGGCGACGCCCTCGTCCCTTCAATCAGAGAAAGGAAGGGAGCGAACTTTAGCCGCGATCGAGAGAGTGCACAACCCGGAGTATCTGGAAGAGGTGCTGCGCGTGTGCGCCAAGGGGGGAGGGGCTGCGGACTTCGACACGTGAGATGTTGTTCGCCTTTCCGTTCGTCTGTCTGTCTGTCTGTCTGCCTGTCTGTCTGCCTGCCTGTCTGTCTGTCTGCCTGTCTGTCTGTCTGCCCGTCTCTCTGTCTCTCTGTCTCTCTCTCTGTGCGTCTCTCTCTCGAGGAATAGTTACGATAACGGAAACCCGCTGCGAGGATACGAGGCTGGGTCGTGGCAATGCCTTCTCTGAGTGTGTGTCTCTGTCTCTGTCTTTGTATGTGTTTCTGCTCTCTGTATCTCTGTATCTCTCTTGGCCTTCGTATTTTCGCTCCGGTTTCGTCGTTGCGGAACATGCCTTAGCCTGGAAACCCATCCGTGTATCGGGTCGGTATCGCCAAACCGAGTCAAGCTCGTCAGTAGTCGCTACACCTGTGTTCCCAACTTCTTCTCATTAGTCGCTGCCGTTTCTTCAGCTGTTGGTAGTTCAGTTGGTGCATGCAGCAGCATTGCCCACTCCATTCCCATGTAGAAAACTCGTGAGGAGTGTTCACCCGTCGCTGCCTAGCCGTGGTCGGTCGAATCGCGAAAAGCGTGTATAGGTCGCACGAGGTATTCCCTCCTGCGAGGGCTCGACCATGTCATGCAACGGCCATGGCATTCCCCCGAACTAGCTGGCGGTTTCAATATGCCTTTATCGTTTCTTGCCATTGTCATCATTTTCGCCTGTGTGTGCAGCTGACTGTTCTCTGTTTTTGTCGTTGTTGTTGTTAATGTTGACGTCGTCGTTGTCTTCGTCACGCAGGGCATCCCTCTGACGTGTTCCCACTCTCTCTCACTCCGAGCTCGTCAAACGCAAAAGACCCGTTGTTAGGCTAAGTGGTTTGTTGCTGTCGTTGTTCTCTCCCGTACCTATCGGCGAAACGCGCCCATGGCGGGGAACGGGCGAGCAGCTACATTTGCCCCGATACCTTCGAGGTGAGAAACGTCACATCTGCCGAGTTTAACCGTCTCCCCAAAACCCATCAGCAAGTGTGCCACCCCGTCGAATAAGATGTTTGTTGATCAGTTGGTTTATTGTCGTCGAGCACATCGAGGGCCTTCAATCGCCGAAAAACTTCCAAAGCCGACAAAAGGCTCGCCACGTACTCGCAGGCACTACCGACGTTACCCATAGCGAGGTACGTTCGTACGTGTTCCCAAGGTTTTTTCCCAACGAGGGGTTGTCAGCTTGCATTGAATTGTCTGGGACCGAAATCATATGTAGGGTGGATGTCTTTTCAAATGTGAGGGTTCTGTTAGTGCATGGATTCGGGTGGCTGGAATCCGGTGAGTCCATTTCATGCCGGCGATGGCCACTGTTGTCGCCCAACTGCCCAAGTTGGGATTGAATGCCAGGACACCCTGTGATGGTTTCCAACGTCAGCGCCTATGGTCGTCAAGATCTCAAGTCTAGGTTTGTGAATTGTTTCTTTCTGTGGGTTGGCTCCTTGGGGAAGTCGACCCCGCCATTGCATGAGGGCCGCATAACCACAATATATGGCGTTGCCCTAGGTGCCACCGGGTCAACCTGACCCCCTGCTTTTGGTTTCAGCAGTTTGACACACGCGTGTCGGTCACTAACGTGCCCTCCCTGGCAGGCGCCGCCCTTTCCCCTACCTTGCCATCTGCGCTGGGAGCCACAAGGGGCTCCGCGATTGCCGCGTTACAGACCGCTCCAGGTCTTGGGCTGGGCTGCCTTTTCGATAACAGTTTTGTCTGTTGCCCCCCCCTCCCACCTCCGTCTTTCGAGGACCCGTAGTCAACGGTCTACCTTGTGAGGCATGCCAAACATGCCCATCCCGTGCCCTCCCCCGAAAGTTTTTTTCTCGTCTCCCCGCCCCCCCCCTGCCCGCAGTCGGCAAGCTAATTCCTTGACCGGACGTTTCACAGGTGTGTATAGCGGCGTCGTCGGCGTGGATGGACGCGGTCGAATCGGCAGCGGGGGGGTCGCCGGCTTTCGCTCTTGCCCGGCCTCCGGGGCACCACGCCACCGCCGGGGTTGGCATGGGTGAGCGTGAACCTTCTAGATCATGGGGGGTATGGCTGTTGATATCACAGCCGAGGTTTTGATTTCGTTTGTCCGTTGTTGTTGTTGTTGTTGTTGTTGTTGTTGTCGTTGTTGCTTTCGTTGTTCGAGGGGGATAGCGAGCAAGAGCGGGAACGGATTACCGGAAAACATAATTTCAAGAACCTAGGGATCCAGAGCGTGTCTCACAGGCTTGCACCTTGCAGACCTGCGACCATGTGGCGGACTAGGAGTCCGCCACAACTATTGATACTGGTGTGACTGTGTTTCGCGACGGACAGGGATGCGCGGAAATTGGTCCTAATAGGAAGTTGAGTGTTTGCCTGGTGTCCTATGTACACGACAGTTGTTCGGCGGAGGCTCACATGTCCCGGAAGCCCCGAGACTCGCGGATGAACTTGAGCAAGACGCCCTTGCCCGGCAGATGCGCAGGCACAGCTCTTCGCCGGCATAGCAAATGTCCAATGCAGAAACGAGCGTCATGTGCTATCTACAAGTTTTCTCTCTGATTGTTCATCACTGTCCTACAGAGACACAAACACACGCAAGTTGCATCGCAGTGGCTCCGTAGGTTCGGGCGAGCGTATTGGTGTGGCGTGTTCATGTCGCAATACCGGGTCCGTTGAGAAGCTTTTTGTGTCATTTGCGAGCGATGCCCGCCCTTAGAATGTTGGCCCCCTTCCGGAGCCCTCGACTACATCTCGTTCACACTGACTGACGTATTTTCGTTGGCCAGCCTGTTGGCGGGGTCGATCCTAGTTATTGCACTGTACTCATACACATAACCACTACCTGGTACACGTTTCCGTAACGGTGGCGGCGTGGTGTTTTCGAGCAAAAGGTTTCTGCCTGGTGTGCTTCGCGGCGGTGGCGGCCTTCCACGCCCTCGACGCCCTCGGGTGCGGCCGTGTGGCGATCCTCGACTTCGACGTTCATCACGGCAACGGCGTGGCGGCCCTGGTGAAGGGGGACGCGAGGGTGTGTGTCCATAGGCTACAGCTCGCGATGGGGGGTTGTCGGTTTGCTGCTCAAACGTGCGCTCATTCCTCGTTCGCGCAGGGTGCGCTTGGTGTATCGGGGCGTTTTGGCGTCGCAGAGAGCCTGACTGATGCGAGATGGGGCGTGCCGGAAGGAAAAACGAACAAACAAAAAATGTGGGGAGGAGGGCGAGGATATCTAGGAAGTGTTTGCCCACGTTGTTCGTGAGAGACCTATCTCTTGTTTATTCATGGGAGAGCTAAACGTTGGCTCGTAAAATGCAGAGTAACGGGAGTATTGAACGCGAGAGGGTAGACTATTGCAGCCATTCTGGGTGGTCTGCCGTTCCATGGGCCGGTAGCAGGTTGGTTAGGCCGCATGGGTGGGTGTGTTGAGAGATCTCCGCCGGAAATGAGGAAAATCATTGGTGCCAAAGCTCACGCTCAATCGAAGGAAGCGCCCTCTTTACTCTGCCGCGGGTAAATCAGAAGGTCCTGGGCGGATATCGGAACAGCTTTGATCGTACCGACAAACAACCGATGCTACAGTTGACGTGGCAAGCGTGCGTCGCGTCGCCCCTGCTCTTTCATGGACTCGTGGGATCATACTCACGACCAAGGCCCCTCGTGCGCAGAGGCCCCTGACTTGGTTTCTGCACTTCTCACTACCGCAACCTCCCCTGCACCACGTGTTCGTGTGCTTCTTTGTCCAGATACGGTACTGTTCGATTCACCAAGGAGGCATATTTCCAGGGTCGGGGGGAGCGGAGGACTCAGGTCCGCTAGGTAAGACTTGAGAGAGGTAGGTCGACGCAGGCTTGGGTCTTCCGTTTTGTCCTCGAGTTGTAAGGCTGGTGTTCTGTGTTATTTTTGTTGCTGTTGCTGTTGCTGTTGCCATTGCTGTTGTCGTTGTCCCTGCGGAATTCTCCTGCTCTCCATTCAGGGCCTCGTAGTGCCCACCGTGCTGATGCAAAGCCCCACCACCCCCCGCGCCCCTTCTTCTGTAGGAAATCTGAAGCACCTACAATTCTTTGGGGTGGACGAGACATGGGAGACGTACGAGCCACGGTTTGAGGAAGCAGTCGAATGGCTGGCAGTGAGTAAATTACTCAGAGGATCCTTACTTAGTGCCTCTAAATTGCTGCTTGCGCTTTGTCTGTAGAGGCAGAAACTGGCCGCAACTGGCGACTGGGGCTTTGGCCAAATACGAAGCTTAATCATGGGTGCGAACTCACTAGACATGCACCGGGGCTATGCACAATGCGTTATTTGGAGGGAGGGCTTTGAACCATTTCCACAGTCGCAATGTGTCATCAATCGACGAAGACGGGTGTGTCCTCTTTTGTACTCTTTCGTGTTTTGTTGTGGAAATGTGTGTCGCTCGCGGGAGGGAGGATTTCATGTTTCTGCCAGGAAGAAAACGCTCACTCAAGCTCCAGCTGGGGCCGCGGAGTTGATCTCGTGTGTCGCGCGGTCTTTCACCTTAAGGCGTGACCCATAGAACTGTGACAAGCATTCAATGTACAGCAGTCCCAGGCGTAGCGCCGCAGATAGTTCGCAAGAACCAAGCCGCAAGACTTCGGACAACAATCGCCGGCACGATGGAGATAGGCCGCGAGGCTAGTTGAAACGTTTCTTGGCGTTTCGTTGTGATCTACTGTAGTTCTTCACGATGTAATACCTCCCTCTAAAGCAGTTTTGATTTCCCACTCCGAGCCCCTCTGCCCGCTTCCCTGGCCTCCGGCCATCCATGTCACCCAGACGGTACTTCTCGTAATTTTTCCTTCCGTCCCGTTATCGATGCCTCTCAGGAGTTCATGCCGGACTTGGTTTTGGTCAGCGCAGGGTACGACGCTCTCGAAGCGGACGAGCTGGCCACTGCAAGTCTGCAGCCGAAGGACTACGGACGGTAAGTCCACGACGACGTTGTTGTTGTTGTTGTTGTTGTTGTCATCGTTGTTGTTGCTAGTGGTGGGGTGATGGCAGAGTTGCCGTCGCCGGCTCATCGCCGTGATGTCTTAAACTCGTTGCACTCACACAAGCCATCTACACGTACGTCGGGACACTTTACGGTCGTCTGCTCCGCGCAAATCGCCAAGCCCGGGGCCCTTTCGATGGCCCCCTGCGTTCACACGTCCGCCGCGGTATCGGCACTTACCCTGTCCTGTAGTCGATATTTATGTTCATGTTCACGATGTGCTGCGCACAGCGTACGCTGACACTGTGTATCCGCCGGTGCATACGTTGTCGATGCCGCATTAAACGACACTTTTTTTACGACGTGCTTCTTCCGAAAGGATGGGTAAGCGTCTCAAAGAGGTTTTCGGCAGCAAAGTGGCGTTCGGATTAGAGGGCGGCTACAACTTACAGGTATGAGCGACATGATGGAGGTGAGGGGTAGTGTAGAACAAATCACGAGAACGCGCTGTGCTCGCCATGTACCCGTTCGTTTTGAAGAGCCTTCGATGTCGAGACCACACAGTGCCCGTCAAGATTAAAAGTACGAGACGCATCGAAGGGGTTGTCCGTGTCCCCAAGATTTGGAACAAGTCTGAGAAAAGATTGAATGTGGTGATCGTCGGTACCCCCTTGCCCCGTTTTGCTTCTCTCCCTTCTCTCCCTGCGGGCAGGTGACACCGGTGGCAATTCGCGCTACTGTGGAGCCATTCCTCTGCGCCGGAGCATGACGCGTGCACACTCCCTCCAGCATCCATCTTGGGGTGCCGCGCACGGCGTCCCACAGAACCCGCCACCACTTGAGAGCCTGGGAGTTAAGAAGCTCAGGTTTCAAGTTTAGCACCCTATGTAGTCGCAAACATTACATATAGGTGGTCCAGTTTGAGAAATCCACACTAAAGCCCTACCAGTATCTATGTACTCGATGATGGGTTGTCCCACAGAGACAACAAGAAACAAGCCTCGGGCAATTGTTCATATCGAGAGACGTCAACGCCTTCCAAGTTTGTTTGCTGATGAACGGAATGCCTAGCAGGTGGCGCGAAACCTGACCAGGGAATCTGTCTAATCATTTCTCCTTTCTCTTTTCGTCGAGGCCCGAACCGGCAACACTACCATAAAAATCACGGGCGTGCGGTTACGCCTGCTCCACCGGGGCAGCAACCACGCACAGCGCTCACCTCACAAGAGTGGAAGAATTACGTTAGGTCAAACCTTGAAAATTGATTATTGTGACCCCGGGGAGATAATGAATGATCCCCGAGAGGGCCGAGAGGGGAATAAACGAATCATCCCCGGTCACACAAAGTCTCCGGAGATTTTTTAGTTCGTTGATTCTCCGATCCTTTTCTTTTTTCTTGTCCCCTCCCGGGCCTCCCGGGGATGTTTCTTGTTGTCCCCTGGATTGAGGACAAACAGCATCTTGAACCGTAACGCCGATTGTGCCTGGCATTTGCGGAAGGGGGTCGTTCTGTTTTGTATCCTCTCAGCACTCAACACCCTCCCCGAGACAAAACAGGTGAAATGCACGATTCATTCACAATTAGTTGCGTGAATATGTTCATTTCAACAATGATGCCGAATATCACGAAAAGAGAAGTCCCGGTGCGGCAAACTGGAGTTTTCCGCACCAAGGGCCGCGGCCCTAACGAGAAGGCCGCTGTACTGTGGGGCAGAACCAAAATGTACTGCTTGCGCGCGCAGCGCGCAGTAAGTGACGCGCACGTGAAGAAATGAACATTGGTTCAAAACAGACCGAACCAAGCGATTGGTTTTCGAAACTGAACCATGCCATACGTTTCGGCAAATGGATACATTTTCGCCCTCCTCCCACCTCCCAGCAACTCCCCAAATCGTGTTGTCTTGAGAAGGGTCTCCGGCTGGACAGAATGTTGTAGTTACAGTCGACCGTGGTCACTGATACAGCAAAGTAGGTTTGACGTTTACAGTGTCCGTCTTCTTCAAGAATACAGCAGTTCCCCCCCCGAAAATCTAGTTATTCCCTACCCAAAACATGTCTCACATAGACTCATCCTCCAGCAATCATATACACTATCGTTATTCGTGTCCATTGGTATCCACGGTCACCCACGGCCCACGGGGGACCATAATGGCTTTCACCACCACGGGGATCACAACGGGTACCAAGATTAAGCGTACTCTATAACATCGACTAGGCGGGGTCGACGAAGGCGCGGCCGCAGCGAGCTGGTACACCCAAGGTTCCGTGGGAGGCTCACACAGCACAGCAGTTAGTGAGTCCAGCATTATTCCAGCTCGGCGCAAGAATGTAAAGAAAGAGAGGAAGGTATCTAAAGCTGAACAACTGAACTGGCTTGGTGTGGGCGTGGAGGAAAGCGCGTCAGTGTGCCCTCACCCAGATCCACGGCGCGACGCTGAGGGCGTTGTCGAATCTCCCGTGTTTCGTACAGTGGACGCGCACGCCGAGGCCTTGGGCAGGTCTCTTCATCATACTTACTTGTTGCAGATTTAAACCCTACGGTGGGTTTTGTTGTTTTCAAAGCTCCAAGACGTTTCGTTTTTCCTTAGTCGGGACGAATAGGTCCCGTGGTGATCATCATGATTACCCGTCGGCACCCGTAGGGTGCTACACCACCGATACCAATGGATCGCTACCCACGGTTATCACCACGGGTGCCTGTGGCTACCCACGGTGACGACCATGGGCTAGCGTTAGGCATCAGTTTGGGTGCCCATGGGTCACCATGTGTGTGGCCATGGGTCACCATGGGTACCCACGGGCAATACCCATGGGTACCCATAGGCATTACCCGTGGGAACCATGGGTACCCA